TCCAATAATTAATAAATTATTAATTGTAGTATTTTTAATATTAACACCTATTATATTTGATAATTAATATTAATTTATAAATTTTAATTTTATATGTATTATATTAGTTTATTAAATATTATATAATAAATTTGTTATTACCAATAAAAAAGATGTTATTTATTACTAACCACAAGTTTGTTGATATTAAATTCAAATAATATTTAAAACTGCGTTATATTTTAAAAGTAATATTATAATAGTAATAATATAATTGATTTAACCATAAAAATCAAGTATCATGATAAAATACTAACCTATTTGATATATTTGAAAACATTTCATTACATAATATAGTTGTACAAAATATAATACTCAGCATAATTAAATACCAAAACTAAAATATAAATATCTTAAATTAATCTATTAATATATAACAAAGTGTATATATATATTATATATATAATTATAAATGCTATATAAATGTATCATTTTTATAACTAAGATAAAACAAATAGTTATACAAACTTTAATATCAATGATTTTAAAAAATCCCAACAAATCATTATATTGTGTGACGGGATATTTGCCACCAATTAATACAATACTTGAAGACAATTGTGAAAATATAATATCACTGAAGTTTATTATGTCATCCGTTAGCTTAAAATATTCCAGAGATATATTGATTTTCTAGTATTTTATATTTTATTTAAACAATATTATATTTAGTTATTATTTATATAAATTAATAATAATAAATTATTTTTTAAAAAAATGTAAAAAATTTTGCCTCATAATATATATAACTTATTCCTTTAAATGATTTATTTGTGTTGTAGGGAATACTATCATCAACAAATATTAAACTAGATAAATTAATTAAATAAAAAAATTTTAATTAGTAGTAAAAATCTACTTTAATATATAAAATTAATATAAAAACCTGTATTTTGTGCGCTTAACTAATTCCCTTAAAATTATATAATCATATGAACACAATATAGTTGAACCACCATAAATATGTGTCTTAATTTAAACATAATAATAATAATAATATAAATCAATGTTTAATAGTAAATATTATAAATGTCATTATAAATAACAATACTTTTATTATATTATACTGTAGTATAACAAATAGTTATAATAAATACATATAGAAAAAATTAATTATTTTAATTATACTCACTATTAAAGAGCTAAAAACAGTAATATTACCAATTGTTTCAATTATTAAATCAAATTGATTTGATTTATTGTCATCATATGTGGCACATGGAAAATTAGGATTCATTGTCATACAAATTAATACCTATGTCTACAACTAAAAACTATAATATTTTTACAAATTATTTATTATTATTATACACTGCATTAAAGTTAATAAACAACACTTAATTTTATCAGTTTATACTGTAAAATAAAAACTACTTAAATATTATATCCAAACTATTAATACATAATGAATTTTGTTTATGTTATACACTAAAGTAAGTATCATTTTATAACTAAATTTACATTAATTATAAATAAACTATAAATATTTTTTTTATCATTTATTTGTAATGTATTATAATTTTTATAAATTTTTTAGTTAGCCAGCATATTTAATATTATTTTTTTTATTTTTTTTATATATGTCATACCGCAAAAACAAAATTATTATTAATAATATATTAATAATATTATGTTTATATTCTCTATATGTAATATTAATAGTGTAAACATTTTAATAATTAATATTTCTTTTTTTTATTAATTTCTAATATATTTGTTATAATTATTTATTTATGAAATAATGTTTTACAAAAAAATAGATTAAATAGTGTAATGAAAACTGTCGTTACTATCTTCGACTTTTCCTTGAAATAAAATTGATTTTAATTACTATGAATGTTAATTTATTATTATAACAAATAATTATATTGATCTCATATTGTTTTAAAATACAATATGTAAATATATATTTATAAGTATTTGATAATGTTATTTAAATACTGGTATAATTTTAAAAACATGATATGATATATAGTTATTATTTTATATATAGTATATAAATTAATAATTAACTAAATAATTAATGTTTTCATTTATAATTTTTACAAATATATATATTAATATTAATGATGAAAAAATAATCAATCCTATATGCATTATTATTTATTTAAATACAAATGCACTAACGCTATTGAAAAGTACAATTAATAAATTTATATACTTTTCTTATCAATTATAGCTTATTAATTTATTACATTAAAATAAATAATATAAATAAGATTTTAATTAATTTTTTATGAATAGAAAAACAAAATAATAAAATTATTATTCTTATTATTTAATTATTAATATGTCAATCAATTATAAAAAAATATTATTTAAAAAACTTTATCATAGTAATATTATGATTATTCAATGCAAATAAATAGTTAATAAAAAAATATTTTTAAAACAAATATAAAACCTGAACACGAAAATTCATAAATTTCATATTTTATAAGTTAAACTTAATGTTATAAAATTAATTAAAACATGTTTAACTATATTAATGGTCATAATATAACATTTTCAGTTATAAAGGTAAACAAAAATAAATAAAAAATATTGAATTATTGAATAAAAATTTTTATTTTATATATATAGAGTATACCTTATTGTGATGTCGAGTATATTAATGAGAAATATCAATTGAAAACTTCAATTCAGCAAAAAATGTTTGATTATTTGTCAAAAAAGTTTAACTTTTTCTATGATATCATATATGCCGATCAAAATTGGGGTACATTTGAAAGTGATGTATGGTTAGGAAGTGTAGGACACGTCTATAATAATGTAAGAATTGAAATAATTATTAATCAATTTAAACAAATATTTATTTATGTATTTTTGGTTTATAATAAATGAAATAAAACAGTTTTTAAAAAAATAAAATAGATTAAAAATATACATTAGTAACTAATATAAAATAATTTATATATTGTACAATATATGTAAGTTAGTTTAAATTTTACATTTACCTCCCCTTCCCCCCCCCACTTTCCATATAGAGTGCTGATATTGCAATATGTGATTTGACGCCAACTATTGATCGGCAAAAAGTGGTTGATTTTTCCCGTAGTTTTGACATATCTCCCGTCAATTTTGTTACACGTAAACCGGGATTCAAAACAAAAACATGGATCACTTTAGCACCATTTGAACCGATAGTTTGGTTACCAATGCTTACAGTATTCATATCTATAACAATATTATTATATTACATCTATTATAAAATTAATAGTTTGAGTCAAAAATATTTTCCACTATTGATAATAGTGTTTGGTACACTAATACAGCAAGGTAATTTTTTTAAACAAAAATAGTATTGTCTAATTTATTTCAAAATATAAATTACAGCTAATATAAAATTGCCAAAACATTATCTTATACGATGGCCAACAATGTGTTTGTGGTTATTGTTATCAATGGTTATAATGAAAACATATTCTGCAATATTCTATACATTGTTAACACTTCCAGAATATATAACACCCATCGACACATTGGATCAGCTGAGACAAGCCATCAGCAGTGGACAGTATGAAGCGGTTACCATAAGTAGAACCATTTATTTGCCATTATTTAGAAAAGACAATAATAATAATAATTTAAATACATGTCATCTAAATTGCAATGAAATTGGTATTGAAATTATCAGAAATTTTGATGATTTACCTAAAAGTACTGAACAGGGAATTGAATTAATTAATAACTCCTCAAAAGTGATTCTCATCGACGACTATAACTCACTTGTATTTGCCATCCATAGTAAGGCATCAATGAAATTGCATATATCAGAGGAAACCCTAATCATGGATCAGCCGTCTATGGCATTACCTAAACGTTCACCATATCTTAAATTTATCAATTTTGTGTAAGTATTATATATAATCAAATGATATATTTAATTAATGTAATTTTTTAAATCTATTATTAACTAATAATTTTTGTTGTTTTATTTGATTGTATTAAGTATTGTTCGTTGTGTTGAAAACGGTTTGTACGGCAAATGGAAAAGTGAAACATTGGACACAATTAAGACAAACAAACAATTAAGTGATCAGAAAAAATCTAAAACATTAATAAATGGATTGCAATTAAATGATTTAATTACTATATTTGTTATATTATTTATTGGTTTTCTATTATCAACAATTGCCATTATTTTTGAATATTTTATTTATTTTGAAAAATAATTTGTAAGATTTATTATAAATAGAAAAGTTAAATAATAATTTTCGTTAAAATATTAGTTTAATTTTTTTTAAAGTTACTAATTATTTGTTTTATTATTAACTTTTGTTTGTTACGTATGTATATAAAATAAAATAATATAGTTTTCATAGTAATTTTATATTTTATAATTATAACTTCTCTTAAATAAAATAAAAATAATTTTTTTTTTTAATAATTTGTTTTAATTAATGATTAAATTTAAGACTTCAAGATTCAAAACTAATGGTTAGATTACTAGTTTGTTTAAATAACTCACTTTTACAATACATATTGTAATCAAATTGTATTTATTAATACATAAAATTCATGTACTGTACTGTACTCTATGGATCAATACTAGCGCTTAAATTGTTAACACAAAATGTTTTAAATAATTATAAAAACATTAGTGTTGTTAAGATTGCCTATAATTAATACTGTAGTTATTATTTAAATATATATTTATAGTATAATTTGTTTAGTTTTGTTTAATCAAAAGATTTTGTTGTTTTGTATTTACCCATTATTTTCTCCATAATATATATCATATATGATATAAAATAGCAATTTCTACATAAACTTAACATCACTATTGAATTATAATTATTATCTCATTTGAATAACACATTTGGATCTCATTGTCCGCAAAATAATAAAAATAATTATCATTTCATATAATCTATTGATTAGTTTATTGATTGATATATCAATGATAACAATCAAAGACTAGTTTGACTTTCTTGAGCTAAACAGTGAATCCAATCTCAATGGCAGACAATCAAAGAAAGAGACGAAAGATATACAAAACAAAAGTTGTTTTCACAATCAATGACTTCGCAAATGTGGCCAACGATAGAGTGTTTAGCGAAATGTTTGTCATTGGATCCAATGGATGGAAAATTGTGGTCAATCCGAGAGTTGATTTGAACGGCAATTACAATAACAATACGAATAGAGAAAGACTAGAATTTGTCAAATATTGTCTTCAATTCAATTCAACAATCGGTTCAAAAACAGTTCGTCAAAGTAGTAGTTGTGATATATCTGTGGACACAGAAATCAAGTCATACTATTTGGTCGACGATTGTCACCGAATCCAATCCATTGAAGACAAACACGTGTTCAAAGAATATCAACCAAAGTATGAATTGAAAGTTAAACGCAAAGAACTGATTGATAAGATCGACAAATTGAAATCATTGGTCATTGTGTTCAATATAACCACATTTACATCGCTATCCGACGCCGACAACAACAACAACAAGAGGTTCCGATTTGACACCAATTTCAATGTCTGCGGACTAAATGATTCTACTTTTGTGGTCAAAGGCAAAGAGTTATACGCATCGAAACTAATTCTTGGCGCTAAAAGTGATGTCTTCTCACTAATGTTTTCAACAAATATGTCCGAAAAGATGTCCAACAAAGTGATTATCGATGACGTGGACAGCGATGTGTTTGAAGAGTTTCTACGATACATATATTCGGGACATTCGGACAAATTGATTGAAATGTCTGATCAGTTACTATATGTTTCCAACAAATATTTGGTTTGGGATCTGAAGAATATAATCTTGAATTTGCTTTTCGTTTCAATTACACCTCAAACGGCTTTAGATGTCTTGAAAACACTTATAGATTTCGATGCTTCCGAAGATCTAATATCAAAGGTCTATGACTTTATCACTCGCAATACTAAAGCAATATTTGAGTACCAATTCAGTCATAATTTATCACAATATGGTTTCAATGGCAAAGTTGTCGATAAAATGTTTGCCGAAAAAACAAAGAAAACTTCGACATTGTATTACACATACAGTTATTTTGAATAATCGTTTTGTAAAGATTTAGAAATTAAATAAATTGAAATTTAAAAGTTATGTTAATATTTATTATTATAATTATTATTATTATTAGTTGTAGTAGTGATTATTTTTTCAAAAAATTATCTTTTTTGTGACAAATATATATTTTTTAAAATGTTTATAAATTTATCAATAAAAACAATATATAATTGGTTCAAAAATAAGTTGTTTATTGATTTAATGTTTTACATTTTTTTATTTTAGCAGTATATGTAAAAAATGAGACATTAATGTCGAAAGTCTAGTACATTTTTGCAATTGTAATACTAAAGCAATATTTGAGTACAAAATTCAGCCATAATTTATCATAATATGGTTTTAATGGTAAAGTTGTCGATAAAATGTTTGTCGAAAATGTGAAGAAGACATCGACAATATATTACACATACAGTTATGTCGAATAATAGTTTGTAAAGATTTATAGTTTTTAAAAATGTTATCGAAATTTAAGTTATTTATTCAATTATTTGATTTTAAGTTTATTAGGTATTAATAATTTAGAGTATTATTATTATTATCGCTAAAATAGTGAGTAATAATTTTCATAACATATAATTATGTATACATTAATTGTATTTATAATATAATTTTTTACAAATATTTATTATGGGTATATTTTAAAATTAATTTAATACAATTTTTCTTTTTGATTGTTATATGTTATTTGAAATTACAAATACAGTAATTATTATTGCAAATTGATTGCAAATATATGTATATAATATTTATAGAAAATAATAGATTTTTTCATATTTAATTAAATTTATTTGTATTTAATAAATATTATTACAAAAAAACAAATATTTATTAATTTTTATTATTATTTAAGCATAGCAATAGTTATCTTATTATTTGAATTGACAAATACTTGAACTAATAAAAAATATACTATTATTATATTAATACAAAAGATATTGATTAAAATCATACAATTAACCTATTTTGTATTTTACCCTGAACACATATTTATCTAATGTACTAAAATGTAATAAATATATTAAATTATGTTATATTATAAAATCAATAATTATAAATAAATAAATAAATAAATAACAATCTCAAGTCTTAAATTGTTTTTAATCAATTAGTATTTATGTTTTATTGTTTTATTTATTATTTAATAAACAAACAAAAACAATTTAAGGCTAAATTTACAACTAGAATATAATCATAAAAAAATGTTTAATTATTACATTATTTTTTGTTATATTTTAGTTGTATTAAATGGTAATTTTTGTTATAATTTTTTCTATAATTACATTACGATAATTTTATTAATATATATAATTAATTAATTATTTATTTATTTTTTAAAGTGGTCACTGGCGGTAACCAACGTGAATGTATTGTAGAGCGTGTGCCCAACGCGGACACAGTATGTGTCTGTAACGCCACATATTGTGATGACATCCCTCCCGTTCCCGCACAGAAAGTCGGTTCGGTTTATGTGTTCGAGAGTAATAAAATTGGTTATCGTTTTAAACAAACAGAAATCATGTTTAATAGAGATTACACTACCGACACATTTGCAACACTGAAAAATGTGAGCATCACTATCAACAAACAGATTACATACCAGTCCATCAATGGCTTTGGCGGAGCTTTTACGGACAGTACGGGACAAATGCTCAAATGTGTCAACGAATCGCTGGCCGACCTATTGATTGACAGCTATTTTTCCAGTAATGGAATCGAGTATTCAATCGGCCGCATACCGATCGGCGGCACCGACTACTCGGATCGTCCGTATAGTTATGACGACACCGACGAAGATCTGGAACTCAAACACTTTGAACTACAAAAAGAGGACAACGAGTGGAAGGTTTGTGAAAACAAACCAAATATTTGATATTTAATTCATAATTATTAACAAATAATGTATCAAATTATGACATTTTCAGATCCCATTCATTAAGAAAGCTTTGTCAGTGAGTCCGCATAAACTCAAACTATTTGGTAGTCCGTGGAGTCCGCCCTCTTGGATGAAAACTAACCATAAATTCAACGAAAGTGGGTCTATTAGGGGTGATGTCGGCGGTAAATATTACCAGTCGTGGGCCAACTATATTGTCAAGTAATCAAACTTTTTTTTTTAAAAAACAAATTAATTATATTTGCAATTTATAAACAATATCTATGTATCTAAACATTTTACAAACAGATTTCTTGATGCATACAAATCGCATGACATACACTTGTGGGGTATAACAGTAGAAAATGAGCCGGTAATGGGTGGGCTATTACCTAAACATCTATTCAATTGTCTGAATTTGACGGCTCAACAGGAACGGGATTTTGTCAAAAACAATTTGGGTCCCGTTTTGGAGAAATCAGGCTATGGAAAGGCACAGGGATTTCAGTTAATGATTTTCGATGACTCCAGTAATTACATGCAATCGTATTTGGCGCCCATATTGGCGGACAAAGAGGCAGCCAAATATGTTTCGGGTATAGCCTATCACTGGTACGTAAATATGCTCTATCCGGGCGGCTTTCCTGACACAATATTCGAGGATATTCACCAAAAATATGGTCAAAATTATTTTCTGATGAACACCGAAGCGTGTCATATAAACGGTGCAGAGGAAGGCCGTTGGGATCTCGCAGAGAGATATGCCAACGATATTATTAAGGTTAGTCATACACCCAATAATACTAATGTACAGTAATTTACCAATAGGTTTATGATGTTTTAACTTAACCTATCTTTTTTTGTTTAGGCTCTCAATCATTATGTGAGCGGTTGGGTCGAGTGGAACATGGCTTTGGATATGCGTGGCGGTCCCACGTGGCCCGTAACCTACGGGTGCGGCGGTACGGTTAACATTGATTGTGAAAAGGGAGTGGCCTACAAACAGCCATCATTCTATGCTCTGGGACATTTTAGCAAATTTATACCACCCAATTCACGGCGTGTCAACCATACAGTTGACAATCCTGTCGATGGTCTACTCATTGTAACTTTGGTCAGACCAGATAACAGGACAGTTGTGGTCGCAGTAAATAAAGGCAATGAAGATATTGTGCTCAATATTACTGTATCGACTGATAAATGGGTGTCTCATAAAATAGGCAGTCATTCCATACAATCATATATTTGGTAATAAAAATGTTTTTAAAAATATTGTATATATAAAATTAAATTTGATATTTTTTATAATAAACTAAATTATATTATGCTATATATAGATAATAAATATTCACAATTATTACTATTATACAATATATTATAAATTTATTCTACAGTTAAATATTCATATTATTTTGTAATGATCTTGCTATAAAATTTAATATACATTAATATAATTTTGTTTTAATCAAAGTAAATAATAATCAAAATAATTATGTTATAACAAAATATTAACTATTTTTATACAAAAATTGTTGTGTTCAAAATAATTTCGATTTATACATATATATAATGTTTCAATTTTATATAAAAAATTATGTTAATAATACCCTAATTAATATTTGTTATTTTTAATTACACTAATAATTGATAATTATATTTGTATATTATTTGTTTTTTATATTTTTAATTTGCATTAATAAGATTATTATAAAATTTATTTTTAGTGATTTTATTTTTTATATAAACAACATGTCTCGCGATTTAATGAATAAAAAATTATTGTTAAAAAATTAAATTATTATTGAATTGATTTATTTAAATGACAACTAATTGATAAAATCGTTTGTTTTAAACAATATCAACAATGACTGACAAATCTAAAGTCGAAGAGAAAGTGTCGTCCAATTGGAATGTCTTCGACAATACATTTTCATTGTCTCTATGGATGACACTTGAGTTGTCTGTACTCTACTTCTTCACAACGATTCTCATATTCTGTGGTCTCTATGCCTATGTTTGGTCCATACAAACAGTTGGATTGTTAGCTATAATGGTATGTGTGTTTGAGATAAACATTTTTAAAAAAAATTGTTTATAAATAATATCTTAATATATGGTCAGCACTTGATTGCCATACCTGTCGGTCATATCGGTGTCCGCTATAATAAACGACTACTTGTGCTCTTGAGTTTGCTGTTGTGTGCCGTTTGGTTCATACTTATCATTGTATATGTTGTAGTATTCAGTATTGTCGACTCTGGTATGTCTTGAAATAAAACTTTATATCATATCATATAAAAAACTCTTATATATATAAATATATATATATACCTAAAAAATAATTAAACATAAACTCTAATGTTTTACAGTTAAAGATTCGTTTGTCAACCGATCTCTACATCATTTAACACTTTTTGTTTATTTTGTGCTCAACTTTATTATCATAGTATTGCTATCGATAAACATTATTACCGACAAACAACAAAATGCGGACAAACAACAACAGGTTATTAATGTGACCGCCGGTAGTAAAGATAAGATAACAACTACAAAGTCCAACAAAAATTTGCAAAAATAATATATTTATCTTATTTTAGCTGTTTATTTGCATTCAGTAATTTGTTTGTTTTTTTTTTTAAAAAAGTTATCGACAATTATATATTTATATTTATACTACTACTAAATTATTTTTTTTATTAAATTAAAATTTATTTTATGTTTTATTTTATTTATTTATGATTTTAGTTTCACAATAATTTTTGTTTTCAAAATGTATTAATATTATAGAGATAACTACAGTATGTAAGAGTGTTTGAATAATTAAATTTTACTATTAAGTCAATGAGTAAACTAATAAAATAATGATAAAGTATCTAATCTTCAGTAGTATAGTGGTTAGTATCCCCGCCTGTCACGCGGGAGACCGGGGTTCGATTCCCCGCTGGAGAGTTATTTTTTTACAAAAATACTGTAATACAATTCACATTTAGTACAAATATTATAATTAATTTATATATAATTTTTAATAATTATACCAATTAAACTACAACTTTATATAATCTATTATTTTATTAATACAATAACTATTAGAAAACTTAATTAATTAATTAATGAAAGTTCAGTCTATTTTTATAAATATTTATTTTAATAAAATAATCCAATTACTTTAATAATTTTATTATATAAATAATTAATTAATTGTTAATTTAAAATTATAAAATAAATGTGAAATAAATATAAATTAAATTTAAAACATTTTAATCATTTGAGTTGTTGGTCCTTCAATCATACAATAAGCCATAAAACTGATTAAATATGTGCTAAATGTATATTTTATGAACATTACAATCTGTGTAAATAATATATATAAAAAACTGATTTAACATTGTATTGAAATTAATAACTAAATTTTAATTAAATTAAAAATCTCATACAAACACTCCTATGGACTGATATATGGGTTGATAGGAGCCATAAATGGATGCTCTGATTATCAATAGATGATAGAGATATGTTTGAAATGATAGACCACTTAATGGTTTCCAAAATTTTGATGACATTATTGAGTTGAATACCTGAGCCCTATTGGTAATACAAGCATATAATATATGAGTCCAACAGGAAGACCACAATAGTGATCGTATAGTGCCGTATATTAAATTTATATTAAATAAAAATGTTGAATCGTAGAAAAATGGCCATGGTTGATTTAAAATTAAAATAATAGTCATACAAGATAATAATAGTAAAATGTTTTCACCAATCTAAAAATATATATTAAATATATACAAAATAATTCAGTAATTACACATTTGATAAATATAAAAATTTAGATATTTAAAAAAAAAACAATTATTGCAATACCATTTTAAATGTATTATTAAATTTATATTTATATTTGATATTATTATTATTTATATAATGATGATGATGTTGTTGTTGTTGATACTGATAATGATAAATATAATAAGCTAGCAAAATACCTGTCCAATATGAATCAATACAATAGTAAACTTGGCAAGTGTGCCACCAATATGTATTGTGATCAATGATATTTTGTAAATATAAATAAACAATATAAATTTTTATTAATATATTCAACGCAATAATTGTAACTGATATTAATATCAGATATCTAGGAAATAAAAAAATAAAATAGTAAAATTTAATCACAATTTATTTATACAAAATACTAATAATAATACTTAATGTTTTTGTATGCAACAAAATATTGCATAATAATGGCAGTTATCACAAAAATTTGAATATCCAATGATATATACCATGTATGTGATTGACACTAGAAAAAGCAATTAATATAACATTAGATTTTATATAATAACTAAATGTTATTTAAATAAAATATTTAAACTATTTAGTACTTTAAATATAAAATTTTCAATGCATAAAAACGGTGACCACCAATATCTATGACAACTGTATTGAGAATCATTGATTAGTCGGTACCAGTGGGGACCCGAACCCATCACCTCTTGCAACAGTGAATAGGCTATCAATGCCATCAGTGACGGTACAAATCGTAAATATCTATAAACTATATCTTTCATAATAATAATAATTGAATTGGACTTTTCTGTACATTTCGGACGTTTAAATACATTGATTGCATAAAGAAAACCAGTAATTAATAAAAATAAATTTAACCAAATGCTACCATTGCTCAGTACTATCCTATAAAACATTTTATAGTGTAATTTGTTTGAATCCAATGGATTAACTATTAGTTTTTTTTTAAAATAAATATATTGTAAATTTTTGATTAACTTTTTTGTTGTTGTTGTAAAAGTTTAAACATTTTTTAAAAAAATCATACCTAAAAATTCACTTTTATGTGATCCCCATTCGGAACAGGTATGCATTAATATGATAAACAATAGACTAATAACACGAAATCCATGCAAACATGGGATGTCATCTTTAATATTAGTTGTCATAATTAAACTCCGGGTGTTTTTACGTATTGAAAATGTTATGAGTAATTTTGCTAGATGAAATATACCATTAAATTGATTAAACTGTTTTTTTTGTTTGTTTGTTTAATGTTATCTAATTAATACCAATAATTAAAAAATAAATAAATTCATTGATAATATATACTTAATTTATTAATAGACATATTGTTGGGCCTGAGATCCAAAGCTGTACCAATTAAAACAAACAAACCAAATGATACAAATATAATGCTAAAAAATAAAATATTATTTAAATATATTAATATTAAAAAATACAATACATACATAATTATTTTGTGATATAGCTTTGCATTATTACTGTTATGTTGGGTACAACCATTTATTATCAAATTGTATTGATTTTTATAATTAAAATATGAATCTTTTAAAATTAAAAAATTAATTATTTAATTATTTAATATGACTAATTTAATTAAGTAAACTGATTCATACATTTATAAAATATATTTTTCAGATCATTAACACTACATACTGATGGCACACATACTCCCACATAATATACATGATTAGGGTTTAGTTGTCTATTATTAGTGTAATAATTGCCAACAATTACTGGCGCCGGTATATGTATTGTACAGTATTGGCCAACAAACATATTTTCAGGCACTTGTATATCGACACACTGTTGGTAATCACCATTAAATTGTTTGCGTCCACTAAATATATCGGTGCTTATTGTGGCCGACGAGTCTATTACTATAAACAAAAAAGACATTATTTTTTATATAATAATAATAATAATATGAAAAGTAATTAAGAAAAAAAATATAATATTAAACTTTTCAATTTCCAAATTTCATTAGTATTATTATTAAATAATAAATTTAATGCTATTTTACATTCACTACTAATTTCTGTGTTATTATACTGTGATATTATATTTGTTAAAATTGATTTATTATTAATTAAATTATAACCATTACTGCAAGTTATACATGCAATTAATAGTAATAATAAAGTTTTCATAATAAATAATCTAATAAAAAGTAAAATAACTTAATTTAATTAAAGTGAATTGTAATTTATAAATTATAGTTATATAAAATGTAATAATCAGAAAAACTTTTTAATAATATTAATTATTTAAAAATATTTTTATTGTATTTGTTTTATTTATTTTTTAAAAATGCTATTTTTTCCTTATAATCTATTTATTTATTTTATCCAGGATATTACATGTTGCAATAAACAATATTTAAATTTTATAAATAATAATTTAGTAATAATAATTTTAATTTATTATTTAATAATAAGTAATTTATTTTTTTATTAGCTTAAAAGTTATATAATAAAATAAAATCTTTTTTAAATTATTATAATAAAGGTAATTTCAATAAACAGATTTTGATATTTATTGATAAAACCTAAACTTTGTATTACATAAGTATTTTTATGATACTTTATATTCACTAAAATTTATCATTTTTTTGACATTTAAGTAAACAACTAATTTTGACATTTCAAATAAGAAAGTGTTATTCATTATATCTAAACATTAAATAACAGATAATCATAATTATGTCAAACAATTTGATTTCCAAATATTTGTTTGATAATTATAATAGACTTTGACATTAAATCAAACACATTATTAATTAATTGATTTTATATCTAATAACAACTTATTGTTTGATCTAAAAACTATTATTTATTTATATTATTATTATTATTGTTGTCAATGGTATAATTTTTTTTAAAAGTTCAATTGCTTTGATAATTGAACAATTAGTAATTTTTTGATATTAGTAATTGTATATAAATAATAAAATAAATAATTTATATAAATACTGTATTATATATTTATTTATCAGAAAACATATAAATAATGGTGACTTTAATGAAAAATTTATGTTTGTGTCTAATATTAGGCGTATTAATCGGTACATACTGTGCGACCAGTGCCAGTGCCACCAATAAAACAGTGCAACGATACACACCTGACTGGAAATCATTGGACAGTAGACCATTGCCGGTCTGGTACGATGACGTCAAGATAGGTATATTCCTTCACTGGGGTGTCTTCTCTGTGCCATCGTTTGGCACCGAATGGTTCTGGTATGTAGTGGACAGTTCACTAGTTTAAGTTATAACTAATAATAATTGATTTGTAAATTATTGTGTGGATGTTTAGGCAGCGATGGAAAGAGGTTAAAAAGAAAGAATTTGTTGACTTTATGGCCAGAAACTACAGACCCGACTGGACGTACGCCGACTTTGCCTCACAATTCACGGCCGAGTTTTACGATCCGAAACATTGGGCCGAAGTTTTCAAGTATTGAATATAGTATTTGTATTTTTATTGATGTAAATACTTATTATTTGAGTTATTTTTTTTATAGAGCATCGGGTGCTAAGTATGTGGTGCTAACCACCAAACATCATGAAGGCTACACTATGTGGCCGTCGAAAGTGTCGTTTAATTGGAATGCTATGGATGTCGGACCCAAACGGGATTTAGTCGGTATTTGAGTTTAGGATTTCGGTAATAATTTCCGGATAAATGAAATAATACTCATTTTGCAGGCGATTTGGCGACCGCTGTCCGCGACGCTGGACTTCACTTCGGTGTTTATCATTCACTGTTTGAATGGTTTAATCCGCTGTTTTTGGCCGATAAAGAAAATAATTATACGACAAACGTGTTTACAAAAGTATAATAATATGAGTATATTTTAAAATAATAGAAAAGTAATTAATATTATTTGATAGCATAAAGCCCGGCCTGAACTCGAAGAATTGGTTAACACATATAAACCAGATCTCATTTGGTCTGACGGTGACGCCGACGGTACGCCCGAGTACTGGGAGGCACAACAGTTCATAGCCTGGCTCTACAACGACAGCCCAGTTAAAGACAAGGTTGTTATCAATGATCGTTGGGGTATGTGTTGAGCTATTTGTGTTAATTACAAGATTATTACTTATATTTTGTTGTCTGTTAGGAACTGGAACTGCTGGAAAACATGGAGGGTTTTACAACAATGCCGATAGATTCAACCCAGGTGTTTTACAGAAACACAAATGGGAAAATGCTATGACTATTGATAAGAACTCGTGGGGTTACCGACGGAATGCCAAATATGAAGACTACTTATCCACTCATGAATTGTTAACAACTTTGGCCCAAACAATAAGGTTTTTTTTATTGTTGTTTAATAAATAAATATAGTATACATATAATGTATTAATCAATTTTATTTGTTTCTATGTTAGTTGTGGCGGTAACTTACTAGTAAATGTCGGTCCATCGCATGACGGTCTAATTAAGCCAATATTTGAGGAACGACTACGCGATTTAGGACACTGGCTGTCTATTAACGGAGAAGCTGTCTATAGTAGTAAACCGTGGACTCATCAAAACGATACAAAAACACCGGATGTTTGGTAAATATTTATAACATTTTAATTATTAAATATTTTATTTATAATTATTTTATGACAAAAGGTATACAATGCAAGAGAAAACTACTGTTTACTCGATTGTATTGAATTGGCCGAAGAATAATGAACTGGAATTGGGTTCAGTCGACCACAAGACCGTCGGATCAGTGGAACTGTTGGGCGAAAAGGGAAGCCTAACGTTTAAGGTCGGATCGGACGGACATACAGTCGTTACTTTTCCGCACATAACTCCCGATTCTCCTCTAAAATGGGCTTATGTTTTGAAATTTACATTAAAATAATATATTTAACAAAATATTTAGTCAATTTGAATATAATTGTATTTATTGAATAAAAACAATAAGTAAAAAATTTTTAGTAAAATGCAAATAATTTATTCATTATTAAAAAATATGATAACATTAAATGAAAATTAATTTTATTAACATATGAATAGTATCTTATATTTTAAGTTTATATATTAATACTGTAATTATATACAGTAATATTTTTTCTAAAAACTAATAGATGATTGAAATATAAATATATAAAATTTATTTATTAATGAAACATTTATTATAATTTGTTGTATTATTCTGCTGATTTTAAGACAATTGATTTATTATAAAATAAAATAAATAATTTTAAAAATTAATTTTAAAAAATCTTACCTATTTTATTGAAAGAGGTTGGAAAAAACCATATTTTTTCGATATATTTATAAGCATTTTTTAAATAAACTTTTTTTGTGATCATCATTAATATGATCTAATATAATCATATCATTTTCATTTTTTTAAAACAACTTACACACATAAAATTTTTTATTGTGTATGTGCCATTTATCCGACCAGGATAAATTATCCTGGTCCACTTTTTTTAAATTATGAAAATATGGCTTTTTTAGTTTTCATTTTTTAAAAAATTAAATAATATATTTTTTCATCTTATATATAATTTTTTAAATAATTTTTTATAAAGTAAAATACTAGAGAAAATGAGAGAGGGAAATAACCCAAATAATTTTTTTTGTTTAAATTTTGTGATATTTGTGATAAAATTTGTTTAAATTAAAAATTTATTTTAATTAATTTTTAAATTATTTTATAAAATTTAAGTTATTATATAAATATTTACAGTACAGAGATAGAGAGTAAGATAAAGTGAGAGATACAGAGAGAGAGAGATATACAGAGAGAGAGAGAGAGAGAGAGATATACAGAGAGAGAGAGAGAGAGAGAGAGAGAGTCTATCAGTACAGTACAAAAAAAGTATCATAAATTATCAACAATTAAAATATGTATTATATATTATATATGAATAATAATTTTAATTACACAAAAAAAATTAATTTGGGTTATTTCACTCTTTTTTCTCTAATAAAAAAGTTTTTTCGTATTTTACTTTATAAAAAATTATTTAAAAAATTATATATGATTATTTAATTTTATAAAAAATGAAAACTAACAAAGGAATATTTTAATAATTTAAAAAAGTGGACCGGGATAATTTATCGGATAAATGGCAGATACACCATAAAATTTTTTATGTGTGTAAGTTATGTTTTAAAAAAATGAAAATGATATGATTATATTAGATCATATTAATGATGATCACAAAAAAAGTTTATTTAAAAAATGCTTATAAATATATCGAAAAATATGGTTTTTAATATTTTTTTAATTCTGTAATAATTTACAAACACTTAAGATATTATTGTTTATAATTGAAGATATTATACTATAAATAATAATAGTTTTTTAAAAGTTAAAATAATTTTATTTAATATAAAAATTTAATATAATAATAAAATATATACAAAAATATGTACAATAAAACATAATTACATTATAGGCATATATGTAAACAAACAATTAGTATATAACGGTTATATCTGCTACAGTGACACCAATCGCACACACGTAAGAGATAGCTTGCGATGGTTCGGGAAACTGGTTTCCGAACCGCTTATAGTTTTTCCCGTTAAATATGTAGGCTTATAGATCAGGCGAGCGACCACTTGTAGATTAAGCGGTAAGGGTGTGACCTATACAGCGACCAGCTTTGGACCCGAGCGTAGAGAAGTATTGCGGCGGCTTAGCTATCATACACTACTGTTGCAATCACTATAATGACCCATAAACTAATTTCTACTATAATCACAAACACAATGTATAATGTAATACATAAACACTGCTTAATAATAATAATAATTATTATAAAGAGATTACATATAATGAAGTAATTGATTAAAACAATTAAAGATATTGGTCCGGCACTTCCGGATCAGTTAAGCTTAGGACAACTGTCCTATTCAAGCGATAATAAAGCTTACTTAAAACATGAGACAACTGTCCCATACAAGCGTTGCTGAGGCTCTGACACTAAACCATGTGTTTAGTCAGCCATTGTTATACTAGCGCATACTGTTGCGAACAGGTAGCTAAAGCTTTCCATTATAACGATTATACAAAATATATTGAAATATAATATAATAGCTTAAATTAATAGTAATAATATTTATAGGGGTAGAAATATAAACATTTCATTCTCCACTACTTCGATTCACACCCACGTGAATGCATATAATAAACAATATACAAATTTAAATAAAAAAAAATATGTTAGCTGAACGCTTGTCACTTCCCCACAACTTCGCTTATTAGTCCTCTAATTACATCCATAAGCGTTTGGGTTCACCATCCGGGTTGTGCTGTTATGTGGAAATTGTGTAGCTTTTCCATTGCGCGGTGTCTTCAGCTCCACTTGAAAACCTGCGCTGGATATGCGATCCGATTGTTGTATCCCTCTGTCAAACACTTGGCTTTTTGTCGACAATTTTTCATATAATTCTAGTGTTTGTCGAGCTGTCGGTCTATTAACTCTTCAACATTTAGCTGTGCTTTGTTTATCTGTCCTCTCAATAGCTTGAATGTCATTAACGACGATCCGGTATTTACATGTCTTGTCTTATAGCTTCTCAAATCTGTAATGTCTGTCAAATAATACTTCGCTAATGCGTCCAAAAACGATGTATTGTTTTCAATATTTTCAGACATTGTTCTTGTTTTAGCGCTTTATTGATTTCCCGACAAATCTTTTAAATCAAAATAATCTTAAAAGAATCTTTTTTAAATCTGTTAATTCGGCGCTCTCTTGCGTTGTCTTCACTTCTAATGTTTCGGCGTTTTCATTGATAGATTTTCCGTCATTGTTGTCTAATTCTTGAGATGGCTTTTCGACGGCTAAACCAATAAATTTGTTGTCGAAATAGTCATCGATTTGTTAAACATTGTCTTTGGATTTGTTTCTCCATTTTATGTATTTCGAAGATCTGACGGACGAATATGTCGACAATCATAAGATGATCAGCGAAGTATTCAAACTGGCTGTTTGTTATAAGTTTGGTCGATTGGAAAATTTTTTATCGAAAACATGATTACCAAAAAAAAGCAAATATTGTGATAAAATTATCAGAAAAGTTATATCAATTGGTAACCAAAAGTAGCGACAATTATATGGACGACAAAAAGGAAATGATTTAAAAGTTGAATATAAATATCACCAAAATTTTATTTTAAACAAATATATTTTCATTAACATTTGTTTTTATGTTTTAATCTAAACAGAAGTATTTTATTAATTGAAATGTCAATATAAAAATTGACATTTGATTTGATGAGATTTTTTCAATATATTAATAAACATATGTAATAATGATATATGGACAAAAATAGACAACATTTGTCATTTTAAAATTGTACATTAATATATTTATTTTAATAAATATGTAATATAAAAATAATTATATTTAACGAGAAAATTCGATAAATGTAATATATATGATGTATATATTATATATGTATATAAAGTTTTTATATGTGTATGTGTACTATATATATATATACATATGTATGTGTATAGATATGTATGAGTGTGTGAGAAATGACGAATGTTTGTGTTAGAGAGATTGAGAGAGTGAGAGAGATCGTGGCATATGTGTAATCATAATTAGTCATTAATATACAAATACTGGGAATATTTAGTCAGTCTTAGTTAATGTCAATCTCGGTATATTGGTTGGCCGCCAACTGGTTTAGAACTCGCGGTGCTGTCAGTAAGTGGACCACAAGTTGTCAGCCCAATTCTAATCATTTGTTTTAGTCGACTTTTCCAGGAACCGGTGATATTTATCTGTGAGTTAACCAAAAAGTGGTCAACTAAAGAATATTATTATTATTATCACTACAACACTAGTCATATTATATATAATTTTTATTTTTTATTGAAAACTCACAAAACTAGTAATAAACTGTATATATATATATTTGTGTGCAATACTAGTGCAAACTAGTCAACACATACCGGTTGCACAATACCGGTGCAAAGTTAAGGCTCAAATGAGCTCTTTTAAATAGTCAATCACATATTGGTGACCGATATGTGATGAAATTTAGCTGTATTGACCGAAGATTTAGGATTTGGTGAGAACTAGTCATGAGGAGCAATTGACATAATCCAATCATAGTTTAATTTAAAAATTTATATTGTTATGGTAACAAAACTATTTTATAGTCTAATGTTATAAATTCCACTAAAATATAATTTTAAATTTAGATCTCAACAATATATTTTTTCAAAATAAAAATTCACAAACTGACCCTTACATATTTATCACTATTATGAGCCAATGCGTGTCAAATGCTCTGCATCTATGGTGAGAACCATCTGATCTCACAAAATCCATTTTTAAACTTTTACTCCCTTTCCTCTCCTTCACTCATTTTATTGTTGTATATTTTATATTTGTATTACTTATATTTTGTTGTCTGTTAGGAACTGGAACTGCTGGAAAACATGGAGGGTTTTACAACAATGCCGATAGATTCAACCCAGGTGTTTTACAGAAACACAAATGGGAAAATGCTATGACTATTGATAAGAACTCGTGGGGTTACCGACGGAATGCCAAATATGAAGACTACTTATCCACTCATGAATTGTTAACAACTTTGGCCCAAACAATAAGGTTTTTTTTATTGTTGTTTAATAAATAAATATAGTATACATATAATGTATTAATCAATTTTATTTGTTTCTATGTTAGTTGTGGCGGTAACTTACTAGTAAATGTCGGTCCATCGCATGACGGTCTAATTAAGCCAATATTTGAGGAACGACTACGCGATTTAGGACACTGGCTGTCTATTAACGGAGAAGCTGTCTATAGTAGTAAACCGTGGACTCATCAAAACGATACAAAAACACCGGATGTTTGGTAAATATTTATAACATTTTAATTATTAAATATTTTATTTATAATTATTTTATGACAAAAGGTATACAATGCAAGAGAAAACTACTGTTTACTCGATTGTATTGAATTGGCCGAAGAATAATGAACTGGAATTGGGTTCAGTCGACCACAAGACCGTCGGATCAGTGGAACTGTTGGGCGAAAAGGGAAGCCTAACGTTTAAGGTCGGATCGGACGGACATACAGTCGTTACTTTTCCGCACATAACTCCCGATTCTCCTCTAAAATGGGCTTATGTTTTGAAATTTACATTAAAATAATATATTTAACAAAATATTTAGTCAATTTGAATATAATTGTATTTATTGAATAAAAACAATAAGTAAAAAATTTTTAGTAAAATGCAAATAATTTATTCATTATTAAAAAATATGATAACATTAAATGAAAATTAATTTTATTAACATATGAATAGTATCTTATATTTTAAGTTTATATATTAATACTGTAATTATATACAGTAATATTTTTTCTAAAAACTAATAGATGATTGAAATATAAATATATAAAATTTATTTATTAATGAAACATTTATTATAATTTGTTGTATTATTCTGCTGATTTTAAGACAATTGATTTATTATAAAATAAAATAAATAATTTTAAAAATTAATTTTAAAAAATCTTACCTATTTTATTGAAAGAGGTTGGAAAAAACCATATTTTTTCGATATATTTATAAGCATTTTTTAAATAAACTTTTTTTGTGATCATCATTAATATGATCTAATATAATCATATCATTTTCATTTTTTTAAAACAACTTACACACATAAAATTTTTTATTGTGTATGTGCCATTTATCCGACCAGGATAAATTATCCTGGTCCACTTTTTTTAAATTATGAAAATATGGCTTTTTTAGTTTTCATTTTTTAAAAAATTAAATAATATATTTTTTCATCTTATATATAATTTTTTAAATAATTTTTTATAAAGTAAAATACTAGAGAAAATGAGAGAGGGAAATAACCCAAATAATTTTTTTTGTTTAAATTTTGTGATATTTGTGATAAAATTTGTTTAAATTAAAAATTTATTTTAATTAATTTTTAAATTATTTTATAAAATTTAAGTTATTATATAAATATTTACAGTACAGAGATAGAGAGTAAGATAAAGTGAGAGATACAGAGAGAGAGAGATATACAGAGAGAGAGTCTATCAGTACAGTACAAAAAAAGTATCATAAATTATCAACAATTAAAATATGTATTATATATTATATATGAATAATAATTTTAATTACACAAAAAAAATTAATTTGGGTTATTTCACTCTTTTTTCTCTAATAAAAAAGTTTTTTCGTATTTTACTTTATAAAAAATTATTTAAAAAATTATATATGATTATTTAATTTTATAAAAAATGAAAACTAACAAAGGAATATTTTAATAATTTAAAAAAGTGGACCGGGATAATTTATCGGATAAATGGCAGATACACCATAAAATTTTTTATGTGTGTAAGTTATGTTTTAAAAAAATGAAAATGATATGATTATATTAGATCATATTAATGATGATCACAAAAAAAGTTTATTTAAAAAATGCTTATAAATATATCGAAAAATATGGTTTTTAATATTTTTTTAATTCTGTAATAATTTACAAACACTTAAGATATTATTGTTTATAATTGAAGATATTATACTATAAATAATAATAGTTTTTTAAAAGTTAAAATAATTTTATTTAATATAAAAATTTAATATAATAATAAAATATATACAAAAATATGTACAATAAAACATAATTACATTATAGGCATATATGTAAACAAACAATTAGTATATAACGGTTATATCTGCTACAGTGACACCAATCGCACACACGTAAGAGATAGCTTGCGATGGTTCGGGAAACTGGTTTCCGAACCGCTTATAGTTTTTCCCGTTAAATATGTAGGCTTATAGATCAGGCGAGCGACCACTTGTAGATTAAGCGGTAAGGGTGTGACCTATACAGCGACCAGCTTTGGACCCGAGCGTAGAGAAGTATTGCGGCGGCTTAGCTATCATACACTACTGTTGCAATCACTATAATGACCCATAAACTAATTTCTACTATAATCACAAACACAATGTATAATGTAATACATAAACACTGCTTAATAATAATAATAATTATTATAAAGAGATTACATATAATGAAGTAATTGATTAAAACAATTAAAGATATTGGTCCGGCACTTCCGGATCAGTTAAGCTTAGGACAACTGTCCTATTCAAGCGATAATAAAGCTTACTTAAAACATGAGACAACTGTCCCATACAAGCGTTGCTGAGGCTCTGACACTAAACCATGTGTTTAGTCAGCCATTGTTATACTAGCGCATACTGTTGCGAACAGGTAGCTAAAGCTTTCCATTATAACGATTATACAAAATATATTGAAATATAATATAATAGCTTAAATTAATAGTAATAATATTTATAGGGGTAGAAATATAAACATTTCATTCTCCACTACTTCGATTCACACCCACGTGAATGCATATAATAAACAATATACAAATTTAAATAAAAAAAAATATGTTAGCTGAACGCTTGTCACTTCCCCACAACTTCGCTTATTAGTCCTCTAATTACATCCATAAGCGTTTGGGTTCACCATCCGGGTTGTGCTGTTATGTGGAAATTGTGTAGCTTTTCCATTGCGCGGTGTCTTCAGCTCCACTTGAAAACCTGCGCTGGATATGCGATCCGATTGTTGTATCCCTCTGTCAAACACTTGGCTTTTTGTCGACAATTTTTCATATAATTCTAGTGTTTGTCGAGCTGTCGGTCTATTAACTCTTCAACATTTAGCTGTGCTTTGTTTATCTGTCCTCTCAATAGCTTGAATGTCATTAACGACGATCCGGTATTTACATGTCTTGTCTTATAGCTTCTCAAATCTGTAATGTCTGTCAAATAATACTTCGCTAATGCGTCCAAAAACGATGTATTGTTTTCAATATTTTCAGACATTGTTCTTGTTTTAGCGCTTTATTGATTTCCCGACAAATCTTTTAAATCAAAATAATCTTAAAAGAATCTTTTTTAAATCTGTTAATTCGGCGCTCTCTTGCGTTGTCTTCACTTCTAATGTTTCGGCGTTTTCATTGATAGATTTTCCGTCATTGTTGTCTAATTCTTGAGATGGCTTTTCGACGGCTAAACCAATAAATTTGTTGTCGAAATAGTCATCGATTTGTTAAACATTGTCTTTGGATTTGTTTCTCCATTTTATGTATTTCGAAGATCTGACGGACGAATATGTCGACAATCATAAGATGATCAGCGAAGTATTCAAACTGGCTGTTTGTTATAAGTTTGGTCGATTGGAAAATTTTTTATCGAAAACATGATTACCAAAAAAAAGCAAATATTGTGATAAAATTATCAGAAAAGTTATATCAATTGGTAACCAAAAGTAGCGACAATTATATGGACGACAAAAAGGAAATGATTTAAAAGTTGAATATAAATATCACCAAAATTTTATTTTAAACAAATATATTTTCATTAACATTTGTTTTTATGTTTTAATCTAAACAGAAGTATTTTATTAATTGAAATGTCAATATAAAAATTGACATTTGATTTGATGAGATTTTTTCAATATATTAATAAACATATGTAATAATGATATATGGACAAAAATAGACAACATTTGTCATTTTAAAATTGTACATTAATATATTTATTTTAATAAATATGTAATATAAAAATAATTATATTTAACGAGAAAATTCGATAAATGTAATATATATGATGTATATATTATATATGTATATAAAGTTTTTATATGTGTATGTGTACTATATATATATATACATATGTATGTGTATAGATATGTATGAGTGTGTGAGAAATGACGAATGTTTGTGTTAGAGAGATTGAGAGAGTGAGAGAGATCGTGGCATATGTGTAATCATAATTAGTCATTAATATACAAATACTGGGAATATTTAGTCAGTCTTAGTTAATGTCAATCTCGGTATATTGGTTGGCCGCCAACTGGTTTAGAACTCGCGGTGCTGTCAGTAAGTGGACCACAAGTTGTCAGCCCAATTCTAATCATTTGTTTTAGTCGACTTTTCCAGGAACCGGTGATATTTATCTGTGAGTTAACCAAAAAGTGGTCAACTAAAGAATATTATTATTATTATCACTACAACACTAGTCATATTATATATAATTTTTATTTTTTATTGAAAACTCACAAAACTAGTAATAAACTGTATATATATATATTTGTGTGCAATACTAGTGCAAACTAGTCAACACATACCGGTTGCACAATACCGGTGCAAAGTTAAGGCTCAAATGAGCTCTTTTAAATAGTCAATCACATATTGGTGACCGATATGTGATGAAATTTAGCTGTATTGACCGAAGATTTAGGATTTGGTGAGAACTAGTCATGAGGAGCAATTGACATAATCCAATCATAGTTTAATTTAAAAATTTATATTGTTATGGTAACAAAACTATTTTATAGTCTAATGTTATAAATTCCACTAAAATATAATTTTAAATTTAGATCTCAACAATATATTTTTTCAAAATAAAAATTCACAAACTGACCCTTACATATTTATCACTATTATGAGCCAATGCGTGTCAAATGCTCTGCATCTATGGTGAGAACCATCTGATCTCACAAAATCCATTTTTAAACTTTTACTCCCTTTCCTCTCCTTCACTCATTTTATTGTTGTATATTTTATATTTGTTAAATTTTATATATTTTATATTTTTTAGATTTTAGAAGTGTCTAGGATGGGTGCGAACAAAAAACTTCGAGTGATTACCATTGTGCATAGTGCCTCTCACACCATTAACTCGTTAACCTTTTGTTTAACGATTCTTCAGAAAATCAAATGTATCTTTTTCTATAATTAATTATGAGTATAGGTGCTTTTAACGTGATATTTTGTACTATTTAACTTTATGACTTTGCTCCCCATAACGTTGAAATATCTGTTTGTTAAATCTTTACGATTGAGTAACAAATAGATTATTTACTAATTGAAATTAATTTAGTAATAGCTATTTTTTGCCATTATCTTGAATAAAATAAGGTTTAATAATGATATAGATGCCCAAACAGAGACATAGCCAGGATGTGATATCTACTCGACGTAAGTTGACTCGGGTTTGCTATTATTTTTTAATTTCATTTTTTAGTTTGTTTATTAATAAACTCTACCAATAGAAAATGACTTGCGAGTCAAATCACCATCAGTGAACTTACGAGGATCTTTGAGTTGAGTATTTATGAACTGATCCAT